GCCTGTTCCCCGCGCTGTTTTAATTTTTTCCATGTTATGGATGGTATGACCCTCAGGGCTTCCAGTACATCAATGGAGAGAATGCTGTGGCATGTCTACAAGATGAATTCCTCTGTGACAGGATCCCTGCAATTCATTACCTTATTACGGAAGCGTTTAACAAAGCTATCAACTGACTCCCCGTCCTTTTGCTTCTCGTCCAAAAGGGCTCCAATCGACACTTCGGTGTCATCATCGAAAAAGTTGTTAAGGAACGAGTTTTTCATGTTATTCCAACTGTTGATACTTCCTAACTTGAGATGGCGGTACCAATTGAAGGCGGCCCTGCAATGGGTGCCAACGAATGACCGGACCATTAAAGGTTCGTTACAGGAGATCACACCCAGGTGGGACTTGAAATAAATTAGGTGTTGAGTAAGTAAGCCCTTTCCATAAGATGACGTGAAGTTAATTAGATTTAACTTTGCTGGATACGTGATTGACTCCCACTCCCTTGGATAAGGACATTGAATACCAATCTTTACCTCTTGAGCGAACATCAGTGCGTTGACCTTGCTCTCCAAGTCTTTCATTTTCTCATCCTTGCCCACATTTTCCTTTGGGCAATTTTGAGGAGGAATAACTGGACCACCCCCAGCGTTGTCATCCTTGGTGGGACCACCCCTAGCATTTTGGTCAACAGGATAGGTATCAACGTTGAGATTCTCATCCACGTATGAATCGCTATCTAACTGATTAGTAGCGTTGCGACGACTATATTCACCACTCTGATTTGATAAAGCTTGAATCTGTTGATCATGCAATTTTCTTATCCGTTGCATAGTCATTTCCATTTTGAATTTGAAATTCTCTTTCTGCTTGGTCAAAGCGTCTTCGAGAATTTTGGCCATTTGTTCAACGTTGATCATGAACGCCTCACGAGATTGTCCTATGCTAGACACTTTATTGTCAGAAGCGATCGCAGAGTTGGCGTCTGACATTTTATCCTCTGAGGAGTGTCCTCTATCCAGTGTAAGTCGTCTAGTTCCTGATCGTAACCAAGCGATGCGCTGAGATGCCTCCATGAAAGAGTCAGGTCTGTAACGTCTTGTCAATTTTCCTTTATCGACCACATTGATGGTAACTTCTGGAAGCTCTTCATCATGACCGGCATATTTCTTCTTGTAGAAGCATCTTGATTTAGATTTGGACAATTCGGTGGAGATTCTTTTGAATACCGAGACCCTCAGTGGAGCGGTCTTGGGACAGCTACACTATGATAATATTACCCTGATTAACCTCTCATAAAGACAGTGAGAGTCCAATTCTGGGATACTTCTCTTTTGAGATTTATTCGTACCCCTAGCCCGATAGTAAAACTCATCGGCGTTGTGGCCGGAGCAACCTATCGATGGTTGGTTTGAATCCCAGGTCTGACGTTATCGTGTAACGGATACATCTTCTTTTGAGGATGCGATGCCTTATTAGCGTTCTCAGGAGTCACACGTTTGGAACCATACCTACGAGAACATGAGACCTTAACGGGCTCTTGGACTTCGACACATAACCCTAAGCGGGCGGTTATCAGAATTTTCCCTTCATATGATGGCTTTGACTTGAAGGGAGTGCGTGTATGACCCTCAGCTTGAATAGCTGCTCGGGATTCATCGTAGGACAAGTGTTCTTTGATTGGAAGTTTGCCTTGATCCCCGTGCAAAAAAACCAAGGTGATACATGACCTTCATCTTGAATCAGGAAAGATCCACGCTGCCATGGTACTTTACCAAAGGTATTGGATCAATTTGAGTAGAAACGGAAGCAGACAGGGACTCAGAAATGGCTGCGGGAGGCGAGGCGAGTGTCGGCCAGGCTGAGCTGGCTCGGCCATGGCGGGCTCGCAATTTTCGGGTGTCTTGGCACTTGTCTGAATCACTATTTTAGATTTTGGCCTCCATTCTTGACATGGTTTTGGTTCTTGACCACCTTGTCCTCCTTTGTGTCTTGCGCCTTTCGTGCTAGGGCACGCGTGTGGTGCTTTTGGATGCGCTCCTCGAGAGTTGAACGAGTCTTTTTTATACGAACCCATTCGTTGGCTGGTGGCTTGGAGGAGAGGCCATTTGCTTGCTGTTGAGGCACTTGGTGCTCTCTGAACTTCAGATCCGTGTGATAACGAATCTCATAAACCGGCTCCAAGGCCTTGGCAAGCTGATGTGTGAGGTGTTAGCGTTACCTCTGACGAGCCTTTTTTGTCAGAATTAGCGCGGCTTCGTTAAATAACTTCTGGACTAAATATGAGTCGTTGTGATCTGAAATATCGGCTTCCTTGGATGCTGGAGGAGCGTTGCGAGGTGAAGCCTCAGCAATAATTAGGCGAGAGTCACCCCGAGCCTTCTTTGATGCCGATATCTTCTAGTACTTGCGGGATGAGGAAGATCTTGATGAGGATGAAGAGAGGTACTCCTCAAACTTGGCCTGGTCGAACTCGTACTCGACCTCTTCTTCAACCGGGATCTTGATCCGTGGTTACGGCATGACAGCCTCGGCAAAGAGACTGTTACCTCCCACTGTGGTCGCCAGCGTGTTTGCGTCGAAAGTTAGATTATTCATTACTGAATCTATTATAATTGTTTATCAATTACAGATTCAAGAGAGTGTATCTCTTTATAAGATCTCTCATTATAATGAAAATAAAATGAAAATTACAACTCTCTTCAAATACACGCAGATGACGTTTATCATCCGCTGCTTGCGTGGGATCTTTACTTGTGGTGGGGACACGTTAGTCCGTGGACCACCACGGATCAGATCCAGTTGACAGAATTAAAATTCAATACTCTTGCTTCATAAAGGAAACAATCGCAGAAGTGATAATTTCGACCAAGCGAGATTACAACTCTTCTCGAGATCAAAACCAAGTTTGATCTGAAGGAAAGGGGGATAGGCCTCAGATCTCTCGAACTCTCCTTCTTTATGCTGAAGAACTTTGCCAAGATCTGCTAGCCTCTCTGAAATTCATGCTCCACTCTTTAATTTGACAGCACCTCACCTTTGTTTTTCGATCCCCTGCGTATAGGGCCCTAGGCTTGTACTTATAGGCTTCGGTTACAGCGTTTTAGGATAGAAACTAATGATTTGACCTTATCCTCTGTTAACGACCATTTAACCATATTTAGGGATAGCCTTAAAATAGTTGGGAGGCTCTAAAATGAACAAATCCTGAGAAAAACCATTAAAAATGCGTTTTTGGACGCGAGCCACCACACGGCTTTGACCGAGTTATTTCGATGCGACTCGGCTGCCAGGGGCTATTCCGGTCTTCAGTGTTGGACTTGTTTCATCGTTTACGCGCATTTCATCGTTTTGCTAACTTGTACGCTTCACTGATTCGCTTCATGCATTTCATTAAGTTGGAGACGGTTGACGTGTGCGCGGACCACTTAGAGGTGGTTGATGAGCATACGGACCACTTAGAGGTGGGTGATGAGCACGCGAGCCACTTGGAGGGGGCCACTTGGAGGTGGCTGATGAGCGTACGAGCCACTTGGAGCTGGCCGGTGAGCACGTGGGCCACTTGGTGCTGGCCGGTGAGCACGCGTGCCACTTGGAGGTGGCTAATGAGCACCCAGGTCACTTGGAGGTGGCTGATGAGCGTGCGGGTCACTTGGAGCTGACCAGTGAGCGCGCGGGCCACTTGGAGGTAGCTGATGAGCGCACGAGCCACTTGGAGG